CAGAGTGCTCTTATAACTATCCCAAGTACTCTCCAACTCTCCGCAGAGTTTTTAAACAATTTCGACGGTAACTTATCTACTCCTGCAGCTTTATTTCTCCTCATCTTCTTACACACAGTATCGACCTCTTCATCTGAAGGTGCTTCTACATTTATTTCCCATGAATCAACCTTTCCCTCAGCTACCTCTTCCGCTATTTGGAATCTCCTCTTGCTCATATACGCTTCTTTTCTCTTTTCTCCTCCCTCCCCTAATAATTCTTCGGGGTGGCGAACAAAATTACTCACATCCATCCCCGTCAAATCCACCCCTTTATAACCCTCACCCCCGGCAACCTTATAATGGAGTATAATTCTTTCAAATTATTCACCTTGGCCGCCTCCTCCGCTTTCTCAGTCTGTTGTTTAATCCAATTCCTCTTATGGACTTTCACCATCCTTTCACCTCCCTTCTGTACTTGTTTGAGAGGCTCAGCATGCTCGTCTCCTCTCTATTCTCCTCACCACTTTATTTCGCATTCTCGTTTTTCCCAAGTCGCGTCTCTTATCGAGGGTTTTCTTTTCACGCCATCTTGCTCGACCCTTTCCACTCCTCTCTCAACTGCCGCATTGAGTTGGTTCCATCTATCTCCAACCTCCAGCTCCGAGAAGCTTCCCATATTCCCTCATATTCATCTCTAATCAGCTCGCTGTCGACTAATTCTCCAGACTCCTTAGATCTCAACACTCTAACCAACTGGTTCTTAACCTTAACCTTCGTTTTACATGGCTTTACTAGCACTACTACTGCTACTACTAGCACTGCTACTACTACTACTACTACTACTACTACTACTACTACTACTATTAATACTGCTACTACTAGAGTTTGGTAGAGGATGCGGCTACTGCATGAACTCTCGTCGGCGCAAGATGAGCTGAAGGCTTTGAAGACGGGTATAGCGGGCGTGTCTGATTATAATACGGCGATAAAGGAAGCAATGAGGGGTGGGTTTCGTGTTGTTGTTACTGGGAGGATTTATTGACCGGTCAGATGCTCAGAGATCAGCACGTAGTGTCGAAGTTGAGAAGTTTCCAGTCGGTGAAGCCTCCCAGGTGGTTATTAGAGGCTCGGGGTGTCCCGTATTGGGTTGGTGTACTCTTCAGGACAATTGTGGGGACGCAGTGATTGTTGAGAACAACTCCGAGGAGCTTCCATACGTCGTGGAGGTGGGAGTCGTCCAAGTCTTTCGAGAGCATGTTCGCATTCAGATGGTGGAGGGTAGCCCGCCCGTAATCGCCACAGTTCGATCTGCGAAGACGAAGCGTTCTGGTGGCGGCGGTTTATCTCTCCTGAGTGTTCGAATGTCGGAGCTTGGGCCGAGTCAGAATAAGCTCTCATCGCTGCGCTAATGAATCGATTTTTTTTCAGAGGGGGAAAATGATAAGGAAAACATTGCGGTTGTTGAAACTATTGTGGAGGAGACGGAGGCTGAGAGGATAGCTCAGTCCAAGGTGAGCGGTGGCCTTGAAGGATTTGGATGATGTGCTTGGTGTGGTAGGAGCGGCAACCGTTAAAGCCCTCAGCGTTCCAACCGAAGATAATACCGTTGAACCCAGGAGCAACACCCTCGAAAATCGGCAAGCCCCGCAATCCTGGTGTTATCCCCGCCACGACTCCTCTTACTATGTTCAAGCCTCATCGGGTGGGACTGTCTGTCTGTTCTCGTCTTAGTTGGTGGTCAGGTTCGGCAGCTGGCGCAAGTGTTTACTGCGAGCGCGTGCGCGGCGGCAGCTCGGTCACCGAAAAAGACGGCAGTCGAGATAGTTGTGAAGCCACGTATTAAGAACCCTATCAGCCTTAGGTGGGTTCATTGGTTGGAGCTTGTTGTGACTTAGTCTTACTGTCAGGGCGTTAGGACGGTTGGATGGTGGCAATCCCAATGGTGCTTAAGATGATCATCATCGTTGTTGTTGCGGTTTCTCCGTCTATTGGCATAATTAGAAGCATGTCATGAAGCTTATAATGAGATTATAGTAATTCTTTTCCATGCAGACCGCACTTGACTGATTATTAAGGATATTCGTGTCGAGTATTGCTCTCGTCGAGAGGCCGGCGATAGTATGCGCTGGTGGTCAGCATAACGAAGCAGACTGCTTTAAGCAGTATGGGAGTTTTAACGATGTTCAAATGCGCGAGGTCGTTGGAATTGTGGTATCATCTATGCTTGAGTTCCAGTTCTAAGTGTAAACGAAATGAGTACTCCGTATAAGTATGGTTTTGAGGCATGCGTAGTCAAGCGAGAGTCCTCAGCCAGAGGCGCTGGCCCAGAGAGCACCGAAGTGATTTTCTGCGACAGATGAGAGAATCCTGTAACCTCGCTACTACTTGTGCGGAACGAAGCATCCTGCGTTGCAGGTTACGGAGAGATTTTCGACAGAACTTCGGGGTTGAGAGTTTCGGATCTCACAAGTTCTGTAGCAACGTATCATGCTTTCGCCCCACTACCCACTACTCCCAAGTTGGGAGTCCCAACTAACGAAATCAATGTATGTTATTGGACAACCGACATTCAACAACAGTATAGTAGAGTGTTCAACGTGAACCAGCGAGCGAGTAAAGTTGAATTCCGTCGACAAGTGGGCCGAGTGTGCTGGGCGTCCCCGCTGTGCGGGGCAGCACAGGAGGCCTATGAACGTGCAGTCGCACCCTTCTCTCTTCCTAACCCCCATCCGGGCTGAGAATGCTCATATTATCGTGTGTCCTAGCGCCCAAGCAGTAGAGCATCAGGTCATTATTTCGAAGATCGCGGGTTGTAGTACCCCCCCGGAGGGATTTCCACGGAATCATTTCATTTTGCACACCGCTAGGTCGCACAAGCTGTATGCAAGGGAGATGGACACAATTTGCTCCCTCTCCTAAGGTCCAACTCTCCGCGTATGACAAGAGAAGATATAATTACAGGTGATAAACCCTCTACGCAGGAGACCCTCTCACAAGCTACCACTCCTCAACAAGGAAGTAGTGAGGCGTAATGATTCATTATAGCCGAACTTCGAGACTGTCGAATCGACAGTGTCGATACCTCTCTGCCGGCTCGACCTTACCTCAAGGTCCTAGCATTTTCCGCCCCTGAGATGGACGTCTCGGATTGAAATGTTTATATTGACGTATTTAGTTGACTGATCCGTGATTCGCGTGATATACAGGGCATTTATTACACCCTCGTTATGGAATGAAGTGGTGGGACTACAGCGCACTTCACGAATGGGACACTACGCGTGAAACTGATTCACGTATTTCACGACTGCATCTCCATACACCTCGGTAAGCTACAATGAATTTGTTCAGTGAGCTTGTGCTCTCACTGAATTGTAATAGTAGATGGAGTTATAGTCGAAGCTTATTTGCCCGCGTTAGGCATGAGCATCGAGTTGAAAAGCATAACTGCTTCGAGTCGCACAGTAGCGTTGTACTGAAAAGTTAGCAGCTCCGTTTATCATCCCGATGCTGAACATCCTCCTCGTCGTCCTATTGATATGTGGTGTGGCTTGTACCTTCAAGATGGGCAACGTTCGCATACAGATGAAGACGACACATTTCTGCAACCTCGACATGAGGGACATCAAGGGGAACCCAATGGCATGTCACATCTCCAAGGCTATGGAGACTGAAGGGCTGGTCCTACCTGGTATGGATGATAACAAGTCGTTCACCGTTCATCGAGACATCTTCGTCGTCAAGGACGGTCAAGCGGTAGTTCAAGCAGCGCCAAGTCACCCGTATCTGTATCTCCTTATGAGCCAGAACGACACCCACTTCAGCACCTTCCAACTCTTTGATAAACAGTCATTCCTCTTAGAGGAGGGAACCAGGCGAAAGAATGATACACCCGATGGTCGCAGGCTCAATGTCAATCGTACACTCGAGGATGATGGTTGGGTCTATAAAGGTTTGGTAGACGAAGGTGGACAGAAGCTTAACAAATGGGTCAGAAGTGGAGTAGAAGGTGTTGATCCAAAATCCGGTCTCAACTTCACTGCCCTCGCTCAGACTGGTATGATCACTAACGCTTGGGTTCTCTATCTTGACAAGGATCAGAAGCAGATGGTGAAGATCTTGGGTATAAACACCTTCGAGAATGATAAAGTCTATCTCGAGTCCAACGTCACTCATTGGGAAGAGCTCGACGATGCATTAACTCTGGACGTTGCCGTGAAGGATATTCACACGGCGTATGATATCGTCAAGAGCCACAATCGGCTACCAGCGGAGGTAGAGGCTCCACAACTGGACGTTGAGTTCATCAAGACCCGCTTGGTTAGCGAAGAGGCTCGTCTATTCTTCAACGATGGGAAGAGCCACGACTGGAGGTCGAACAAGACTCGTATTCGTGGAGATAAGTCGGTAGCACCGATCGATTACTTCCACCTCCCCAGTGGCTCTGCTGCACATAAGTTCTTCCTGTACAAGTATAACTCTCCTGTACAAGGGCAGGAGAAATTCGAGTTACCATCGGCTTGCAAGAGCGGTGTGACCAAGTCGGCCAGTCCATACTGCCTGTATGTTGGTTACGCCTCTAGCGACACGCTACTGGCCCTCGAGGTATATATGGCTTATACCGATGTAGCCATTGAGGAAAATAGAGCACACCTCAACGTCACAGTCCATTTGAAGCAGCCGAAGACGGAGGTTCTACTCTTTGCTTTCGAAGCCGCTGGATGCGCCCTGGTTTGGGCTGCTGATATTAAATTCGCAGGCTTGCGCATTCAAGTATGTCTTACCGGTGCAGGCAAAGGTGGGAATGGCACTTACTGGGGGAAAATAGCAATGTCGGTCGCGGTCATAATCACTGTTAAACCCTTTCCTTCGTTGAAAGCCACACTCTCTGGTCAAGTTGCGGTCAATGCTTCGAAAAATGGTGATGTCAAAGCATATGGTGAGCTGGGCATTGATGTCTCGGCGGTAGCTGTCGGAGCGGGTATTTCCCTGGACATCTTCGGAAACACCGTTGATCATAAATCGGATATCTGGCAATTCAAATCCCACTTCAATCTCCACGTATGGGTCGACGTTCGCTTCTACAGCCATGACTGGCCATGGAGTTGGACTATTTGGGAAGCTGGTCCAGTTAAAGTGCGATAAGTCGGCAAGCCGGTGTTGACGGTGTATCGAGGGCATAGTTGCAGTCCCATGTGAGAGCTGCATGAGTATCTCATATAATAAATTATGATGCTCTTGTCATGTCTTGAACTTTGTTAAAGAATAACGGAGCACACCTAGGCTCGTGAAGTAGCATTTTGACTCCGCGTTGGTCGGGTTAGCTGATGAGTGGCGCACCATGGGCCGATTCTGATCTCTCTTTCGTTGTCCTAGCTGATGCACTATGCTGCCAGCGGTTGATCCGCTGCAATCCCGTAGCTTAGCGCTCAGGAATCTCAGTTCACAAGTTAACCGGCTCTTTTCAGATTGTTCTGTCGTGTTTTAACCAGTAAGGAGTGTCACATAACTAACCACATCATTCGACCCGAGCTGATCACCTATGTCAGGGCTAGACGACACGGTGTACTTTGCAACACCTCCGACATGATTCATTTATGAGTCGCTTTAGCTCAGCGATGGACTTCTATAACAAACCGTGTGCTCCAGTGTGCTCCGGTAGAGGATGCGGCTACTGCATGAACTCTCGTCGGCGCAAGATGAGCTGAAGGCTTTGAAGACGGGTATAGCGGGCATGTCTGATTATAATACGGCGATAAAGGAAGCAATGAGGGGTGGATTTCATGTTGTTGTTACTGGGAGGATTTATTGACCGGTCAGATGCTCAGAGATCAGCACGTAGTGTCGAAGTTGAGAAGTTTTCAGTCGGTGAAGCCTCCCAGGTGGTTATTAGAGGCTCGAGGTGTTCCGTTTCGGGTTGGTGTACTCTTCAGGAAAATTGTGGGGACGCAGCGATTGTTGAGAACAACTCCGAGGAGCTTCCACACGTCGTGGAGGTGGGAGTCGCCCAAGTCTTTCGAGAGCATGTTCGCATTCAGATGGTGGAGGGTAGCCCACCCGTAATCGCCACAGTTCGATCTGCGAAGACGAAGCGTTCTGGTGGCGGCGGTTTATCTCTTCTGAGTGTTCGAATGTCGGAGCTTGGGCCGAGTCAGAATAAGCTCTCATCGCTGCGCTAATGAATCGATCTTTTTCAGAGGGGGAAAATGATAAGGAAAACATTGCGGTTGTTGAGACTATTGTGGAGGAGATGGAGGCTGAGAGGATAGCTCAGTCGAAGGTGAGCGGTGGTCTTGAAGGATTTGAATGATGTGCTTGGTGTGGTAGGAGCGGCAACCGTTGAAGCCCTCAGCGTTCCAACCGAAGATAATACCGCTGAACCCAGGAGCAATACCCTCGAAACTCGGCAAGCCCCGCAATCCTGGTGTTATCCCCGCCACGACTTCTCTTACTATGTTCAAGCCTCATCGGGTGGGACTGTCTGTCTGTTCTCGTCTTAGTTGGTGGTCAGGTTCGGCAGCTGGCGCAAGTGTTTACTGCGAGCGCGTGCGCGGCGGCAGCTCGGTCACCGAAAAAGACGGCAGTCGAGATAGTTGTGAAGCCACGTATTAAGAACCCTATCAGCCTTAGGTGGGTTCATTGGTTGGAGCTTGTTGTGACTTAGTCTTACTGTCAGGGCGTTAGGACGGTTGGATGGTGGCAATCCCAATGGTGCTTAAGATGATCATCATCGTTGTTGTTGCGGTTTCTCCGTCTATTGGCATAATTAGAAGCATGTGATGAAGCTTATAATGAGATTATAGTAATTCTCCTCCATGCAGACCGCACTTGACTCATTATTAAGAATATTTGTGTCGAGTATTGCTGTCGTCGAGAGGCCGGCGATAGCATGCGCTGGTGGTCAGCATAACGAAGCAGACTGCTTCAAGCAGTATGGGAGTTTTAACGATGTTCAAATGCGCGAGGTCGTTGGAATTGTGGTATCATCTATGCTTGAGTTCCAGTTCTAAGTGTAAACGAAATGAGTACTCCGTATAAGTATGGTTTTGAGGCATGAGTAGTCAAGCGAGAGTCCTCAGCCAGAGGCGCTGGCCCAGAGAGCACCGAAGTGATTTTCTGCGACAGATGAGAGAATCCTGTAACCTCGCTACTACTTATGCGGAACGAAGCATCCTGCGTTGCAAGTTCCGGAGAGATTTTCGACAGAACTTCGGGGTTGAGAGTTTCGGATCTCACAAGTTCTGTAGCAACGTATCATGCTTTCGCCCCACTACCCACTACTCCCAAGTTGGGAGTCCCAACTGACGAAATCAATGTATGTTATTGGACAACCGACATTCAACAACAGTATAGTAGAGTGTTCAACGTGAACCAGCGAGAGAGTAAAGTTGAATTCCGTCGACAAGTGGGCCGAGTGTGCTGGGCGTCCCCGCTGTGCGGGGCAGCACAGGAGGCCTATGAACGTGCAGTCGCACCCTTCTCTCTTCCTAACCCCCATCCGGGCTGAGAATGCTCATATTATCGTGTGTCCTAGCGCCCAAGCAGTAGAGCATCAGGTCATTATTTCGAAGATCGCGGGTTGTAGTACCCCCCCGGAGGGATTTCCACGGAATCATTTCATTTTGCACACCGCTAGGTCGCACAAGCTGTATGCAAGGGAGATGGACACAATTTGCTCCCTCTCCTAAGGTCCAACTCTCCGCGTATGACAAGAGAAGATATAATTACAGGTGATAAACCCTCTACGCAGGAGACCCTCTCACAAGCTACCACTCCTCAACAAGGAAGTAGTGAGGCGTAATGATTCATTATAGCCGAACTTCGAGACTGTCGAATCGACAGTGTCGATACCTCTCTGCCGGCTCGACCTTACCTCAAGGTCCTAGCATTTTCCGCCCCTGAGATGGACGTCTCGGATTGAAATGTTTATATTGACGTATTTAGTTGACTGATCCGTGATTCGCGTGATATACAGGGCATTTATTACACCCTCGTTATGGAACGAAGTGGTGGGACTACAGCGCACTTCACGAATGGGACACTACGCGTGAAACTGATTCACGTATTTCACGACTGCATCTCCGTACACCTCGGGAAGCTACGATGGATTTGTTCAGTGAGCTTGTGCTCTCACTGAATTGTAATAGTAGATGGAGTTATAGTCGAAGCTTATTTGCCCGCGTTAGGCATGAGCATCGAGTTGAAAAGCATAACTGCTTCGAGTCGCACAGTAGCGTTGTACTGAAAAGTTAGCAGCTCCGTTTATCATCCCGATGCTGAACATCCTCCT